TAAACGTATGTCCCCACTATATCCTATTGCCATTCCTCGGATCGATTGATGTCGCCGTGGGCATTGGCCTGTCCGAATCCGAGCTGACCACCCTCCGCGCCTGTAGGGAAACATGTGCGGAGCTGCATCGTCTATACGTGGGACCACAAGTCGTCGGCGGCTTTCTGGGCTGGCATGAAAGTGTATGTTTCTGAGATATCCGGAGGCGATATAAGGGTGAGGGGAGGTGTTGTTCGAGTGTGGCTGACACGCATCGGTTCTTCATAGGCAGCCTGTCCTCGCCGACGAGGTCCAGACGTTCAAGGCCCTGATCACGATACACAAGGTTCTCCAGGAGGGTCACCCCATGGTTGTGCGCGAGGCGCAACAGCACTCCAATTGGATTGATAGCTTGATGCGAGGTGTTGGTGGCGATGGCGTTCGAGGTATGATATCCGCACTGGGCAATTGCGCAATGGTCGTCGGCTGGAGGAGTTGCGATGCAGACGGAGTAACAGGATATTGACGGCTTTGGATAGGATATGCGCCGCTTATTCGGGAGTACGTCTTCTTCCTTGAGTCGAAGCTAGCGTTCCACCGCAACCACCCTGAATTCAACGGTAAGTCATCCCCGTGGAACGATGTTGTGATGTGCAGATGTTTGACAAATGTAGGCCTTTTTGAGTACGAGGAGTACATTAGTTTGAAGTCGATCAATGATCCGAACGAAGGGTGCGTAATACCCGTCTTTGTGACAATACAGATGGAGTGTTAACAGGTCTGCAGTTACGAGACTATCACCGACCTGATGGCCTTGCAAGATCAGATTGATTCATTCCAGAAGCTCATCTTCTCGAACTTCCAGTCCGGCACGAACAATGAATGTCGAATCTCAGCGTTGGTGCCCCTTGTGCAGGAGAGTTATGGTATCTATAAGTTCATCACCAGCATGCTGAGAGCTATGCACACAAGTATGTGTCCCTCATCTTTTGAGCTGCGTTCAATGGCAACTAACTGACTTCTTGCAGCCACTGGCGACGACGAAGCTCTCGAGCCTCTCCGGGGCCGGTATGATGCACAGCACCACCGTCTCGTCCGCTTCTACTATGAATGCTCCAACCTGCGCTACCTGACTGGCCTTATCACCATTCCGAAATTGCCGCAAGACCCTCCCAACCTGCTCGCCGAAGATGACGATCGCCCCGCTCTTCCCAGGCGACCCGCAAAGGAAGTGGAAGCACAGCCTTCACCACCACCCAAGATGGCTGCGGAACCCGAGCCGATCAATGATTTCTGGACCAACGAGGCCAGACGCCAGCAAGAAGAGTATGAGGCAGAGCAGGCACGTTTGCAACAGCAGTGGGAGGATCAGCAGCGCCAGCAAGTCCTTGCTCAACAGCAGGCCCAGAACGATTTCGAGGAGCAACAGCGTCTCCAGGCAGAGCAGCAACGATTGGCACAAGAGCAGCTTCTTCGTGACCAATACCAGACACATACACAAGGCCGACTGGCAGAGTTGGAGCAAGAGAACCTTAACGCTCGTGCTCAGTATGAGCGTGACCAGTTGATGCTGCAGCAATATGATCGACGTGTCAAGGACCTTGAGGAGCAGATGAACCACCTGAACTCCAACCTCAACTTGCAGAACGCCTCCAAGGACGAGCAGATTCGATCCCTGCAGGAGCAGGTCAACACCTGGCGGACCAAGTATGAAGCTCTGGCCAAGCTGTACTCCCAGCTTCGACAGGAGCACCTCGATCTTCTGCAGACCACAAAGAGCCTCAAGCTCAAGGCTGCCTCCGCACAAGAAGCAATTGAACGGCGCGAGAAGCTGGAGCGTGAGCTCAAGACCAAGAACCTGGAGTTGGCTGATATGATTCGGGAACGTGACCGTGCTCTGCATGACCGGGATCGCCTGACTGGTACCAACAAGGATGAGCTGGAGAAGGTCAAGCGCGAGCTTCGTATGGCGATCGAGCGTGCTGAGAATGCCGAACGCTCAAAGGGCACCGAGATCTCATCCATGCTGTCCAAGTATAACCGTGAGATGGCTGATCTGGAGGAGTCTCTCAGAGTGAGTATTCATCCTTCCTGTTTGACTGTCTGATTTATACTGACCGCATAGAACAAAACACGAGCATTGGAGGATATTTCCAGCCGCAACACAGACCGCGATGGCGATCATGACCTGGAGCTTCGCGAGAAGGACGAGGAGATTGAGGTGTACAAGTCCGGCATGGAACAGGCTCTTATGGAGCTTGAGGAACTGAGGATGGTAAGCAGTAGTCCTGATACCGTGGAGTATGTGCATGCTAACCTCGTGTCATTGTAGAACCAAGGCGATGCCGACCACGCACTGGATAGCCAGATTGATACTGTGCTCCACGGCACAGTGGCAAAGATCAACGATATCATCGACTCTGTGCTCCAGACTGGTGTGCAGCGTGTCGACGATGCCCTGTATGAACTGGATTCGTCCATGCAGGCTGGTAACCAGAATGCCTCCCCGCCATATGTGCTTTCGCAGATTGAGAAGGCCTCAGCCTCTGCGACCGAGTTCTCAACAGCCTTCAACAACTTCATTGCCGATGGCCCCAACAGTCCCCACGCTGAGATTATCCGCACGGTCTCCATCTTCTCTGGGTCTGTTTCTGATGTGTTGAGCAACACCAAGGGTCTGATGCGCTTCGCCAATGACGACAAGAGCTCCGACCATCTGATGAACGCTGCCCGCAAGTCCGCCCAGGCTACTGTCCGCTTCTTCCGTGGTTTGCAGTCGTTCCGTCTCGAGGGTCTGGAGCCGTTGCAGAAGACTGATGTGGTTATCAACAACAACCTGGAGGTCCAGCGTGACCTGCAGTCGCTGTCGAAGCTGGTCGACTCGTTCGCTCCTAAGAACAGCAAGATTAGTACCAGTGGTGATTTGGGTGACCTGGTCGACCAGGAACTGCTCAAGGCCGCTGATGCCATTGACGCTGCTGCCCAGCGCCTGGCCAAGCTCAAGAACAAGCCCCGCGATGGTTATTCGACTTACGAGCTGCGCATCAACGATGTGATCCTTGCCGCGGCCATTGCCGTCACCAACGCCATTTCCGAGTTGATCAAGGCCGCCACAGAAACTCAGCAGGAGATTGTCCGTGAAGGTCGCGGTAGCTCTTCTCGCACTGCCTTCTACAAGAAGAACAACCGCTGGACAGAAGGTTTGATCTCTGCTGCCAAAGCCGTGGCTGGCTCCACCAACACCTTGATTGAGACTGCCGACGGTGTGATCTCCGGTCGCAACTCGCCCGAGCAGCTCATCGTCGCTTCCAATGACGTCGCCGCCAGCACTGCCCAGCTTGTCGCTGCCAGTCGTGTCAAGGCCACCTTCATGAGCAAGAACCAGGATCGCCTAGAAACAGCCAGCAAGGCCGTCGGCGCCGCTTGTCGCGCTCTCGTTCGCCAAGTGCAGGATATCATCAAGGAGAAGAACCGCGACGATAACGAAGCGGAGGATTATGGAAAGCTGAGCTCGCACGAGTTCAAGGTCCGCGAGATGGAGCAACAGGTATGTGATTCCCCCGTCCCCCCAGGTCCCCCTTGTGGTGTATCCGACCCAATACTGACATTATCCCCTCAGGTCGAAATCCTCCAGCTGGAGAACGGTCTGGCTCGTGCTCGCCAGCGTCTGGGCGAGATGCGCAAGATCTCCTACCAGGAGGATTGAGCAAAGCTGTTCCATTCGCGCTTTTTTTCCATTCTTGGTTGACTTGTGTACATTCCGCATCCCAATTCCGAGGAGTTCCGTCCGTGTCGGTCGCATTTTGTGTTCTTCGATCTGGACCTATTCTCCCCATTCCCGTAGTTAGTCTCTTTGAGTTAAATTTCCATAGCGAATGCAAGCAACTTACACAGTTCACTCCAATGAGCGTAGTGCCTTGTCCCCATCTTCCCCCTGTACTCTGGTCTGTATGTTCTCCTGGCACCAGTACCAGTAGACGATCCCGTAGCACGGTTGCATCTGCATCCTGGTCTTGTCGACCGACTCCCTGCATGCCAAGCCTTTCCCCAGACTGTGGAACCTCGGGACGGCTGCGTGGAGATCCGTGGGTCGCTGCACTAGCGCCGACTATCAACAAAGAGAATCGAGACGTCACCTCATATCCCACACAAAGAGGGAGTGTGCCACGGCGTCGACGTATTGGTCGTAGCTTCGAGAAGAAGCGTCATGGCGGGACTCGGTTCGATGGTTCGACGGGTTGACAGGCTCGAGGGATTGGAGCTGGCGGGTATTCGAGTTCTTCAGGTGGTGAAGCTACAAAGAAGCCTGTCAGTCAGAGAAGCACAACACGGCAAACAGGGAAGAAATCTAACCAGGTCCATGAGCCATGAAGAGGATTCTCCAGTCCCAAGTCTACAAATCTACGAATCGGAGAACCAGGATTTTCTGCATTTGCATCATATTGACTACCTAAGCCCTAACTGAAATTCTGTAAATGATCACAACTGGTAATGCCCACGCAGGAGGAAAAGGAGAATTCGGTAGCCCGGAGGGAACGTAGACCGATGATCATCCTCTCTTGATGATTGCGCGCAAGCAAGATAGATACAAATCATTGATAGGGACATGGTATGATTGAAAAAAGAAAGACTGAAGAGCGCTCACAAAGCAGATAGTAGTACAGGGGAATTGTAAAGCAAAGAGGCAGCGCTGTCCGATTGGAACCTTCACGAGAAACCCTGATCAATGACTGACCTCCGGCGCAGGATGGCGCAATGGGATAAACAAGAGAGAATGGAATGGATTGAAGTTGAATGATGGCCATGAATCAAGAAAGCTGGTCAGGGATGACAATAAAGGCGCGACATTGTAACCGTGAGTTCATGCGAGACCCTCATGGACGGCTGGTTGACCAGCAAGGTGGACGCTGTGAGAGGATCTGCGAGTGAATTGTAAGATGTGCATCCTTGATGTCGTCAAGCCGGAGAGCCGGAAGTGAGTTGCAAGTAGGCCTGGGCTGAAAGGACTGTGGTGTAATTGCTTAAGCAAGATTGCCAAAGGCGATCGGATCCAGACCAGAGACCAGGTAATTGTTGACCGCATCATCGGACAAAGGCTGCTGGAACTCGGCACTTGTCTGGTAAATGATGTCAATGCCCTGATCGCGCTCAGGGTCCAGGACCGAGTACATCTCATCAGCTTCGAACTCTTCAATGGGCCACTGAGGGACAGTGTCAATGATCCAGTTTTGGGGCTCTGCGACTGTTCCGTTGTAACCAGGGTCGACAGCAAAAACGGCACCGTCCGGAAGGATGTGCCGGGGCCACTCCCATCACGAGGCTTAGCGTAGCCCGAAGCCTCGCAGAACTGGACAACCTGGTAGACACTCAAGGGGTTGGGAGAGAACTGTCGAGGAACATTGCTGTTTCCTTCGCGAACGATTTCCATGTGATCGTCGGCCTGTCGGATTTTCCAGCCACACGCCTTAAGGTAGACATCGGGCTCACCAAGACCTATGAGGGGAGCAACGAGTTTGACAAATGCAGGGAGCGAAGGATGATCAACTTCGAAGTGGTCACGGATAAGGGTGTAAGCCTTGGCAAGGACGGCCCACTGAGGCTTCATAGTGTCTTCTTCCCAGAGCTGGCTGATGACTGTAGACTTAACCTTCTGTGGGATGCCAGGAAACATGGGCGAACAGAAACCTAGAGTACAGTTAGAAAATATCAAACGAAGACGAGAAAAGGAGCTGCTTACTGCGAAATATCATGAAGCTGTTCAGAGGACGAAGGCGGCGCTGAGACAGAGGGGAAGGCAGTACATCAAGAATCGAGGTGCCAACACATCCGGTGGTCGAATCAGGGTGGAGCTGCTGCATGGGTAGTGCCTCATCAATGCGTGCGAGCGTCAAGATTCCGTTCATGAAAACAAAGCGAGGACCAACCGGCAGGAGTCGGGGCTGCTGGAAGTAGTTGGCAGGAAGGGCACCCAGGACAGAGGCGGCATAGACACCGGGAGCGGAATCCTCGGGCCAGCGACCGACAACACGCATAGCATGGTTGATAGGGAGGGTCTCAATGTAACGGAAAAGGAGCATTTCAAGGTGGGCAGATGAGTGGCCATGCAGTGCCTGAGCATGCAACAGAGTTGACTGCAGCTGGGCAGGGGACGGAGCACGAGAAGACATCTTGAAAGATATCAAGATTGGCAAAGAAGCAAGAAAATGTAAGCAAGCGAAAGGTAGAAATGGGAAGAAAGAAGAAGGTGGGGATGAAAAGGAAAGAAGAAAAGATAAAGGGAATCAGAGAAATAACCAAAGTGGACGATGCGATGGACATTTCTTTGTTTGGGAGGCAGCACCAATCAGAGTATCTCACCCCAATTGGGATTTCTTTGTTCTGTCAATAAAGGGAATTAAAATAAAATAAGATAACCTACGAGATCAACTTGATTCAAAGTGACTTGGACAGCATGTACCTGTTCAACAGCCAAATCGAACACCCCCAACACTTCTGTGTACATGTGTCCCATTTACGCTGCCGGGCTGGTCTCCGTAGCGATACGAGGCTGCAGGGCTTTGATAAATCATCCTAGGTGCTATCAAGACATGCTTATTATATTCAAACATATCAATTTCAAGTGTGCATATAACATATCGATTTGTGCTACTGCAGACAGTAAGTCAGGAGGAAAACAAAACATGGATGTTCTCCACGTGGCACTGCAGATCCGGGGATTAGCGCCTCCACCCACAATTAAGCTTAAAACACACCATGGTCCATGCACTATAAATTCGATGTGATTTACCTATTCTCCACTCCCTAGAAGGTGCCAATTTGGGAATAACTCGCCCAGTTCCAGCTCATCTGGCTGGGGTTACATGGCAGTCTATCCAATCTATCTTGAGGATGTTGGTAAGGTACTTTCCCCTGAGGTACTTCCGATTTCGAATTTACGCTGCAAAATATCATGAGTCATACCCTAGCGAACAATGGTTCGCAGGAGCCAATCAGAATATCAGGAAATAAAATAAACATTCACTACGATGGCTGAATGGCGAACAAATCCCTGGGCGACCAATTACGACGAGGGAGGATAAAATACAGTTTGCGAAAAAGCGCTCAATGGGAAACAATAGAGAACGACTTCCCAGTCGGCCATTTAGAAACCAAGAATCAAAAAGGGGCCGGAAGCCTTACCACCAAGGCATCCACAGAGTTTCATCCCAGATCATGTCTTACAGGAGAACTGCTCTGAGCCTCCCCAGACAGCCATCGATCTTGTAATAGTGGGCTCCAAGTAGCACCATGGGATTGCCGAGAATATACGTAACGAAACATCTGCATGGACAAGGCAGTTAATGCTAGCTACGGGGACACGAGATGAAGAAACCGTGCAATGCGGAGATGCAATCGTAGATATTGCTATTGGTTACCAAGCGCATCCCTCAATTTGGCACATAAGTCTATATCATTGCTCCGGTGTCGTAGCAGAGGGGTTCCAATCACTAGCCCAGATAAAAGTAGGACAGCGCCACTGCGTGCCTTTCTCTTTTTCTCCACTAGGACCCAGTGGCCGAGGGCAAATCCAGAACGAGCGCCCGCGATTCATCCCTGGTTTCTTAGTTGTCAAGCTGATGCAAGGCTCGTGGTGTCCGTCACACGGTGGGACGGGCTTCTTAGTAAAAGCTTCGACCAATCCTCCTTGCTGACGATTGGGTCAATGACTGTATCGCTGTCCATGAGCTTGCTGGATTTAGGTGTCTGGACAGATGAGTCGTATGTGTGTGCTTCAGAGGGCTGCGATCCGAGGTCTGGAGCTGTCTGGTTCTCTTCTGACGAGGAAGGTGTTTGGATGTTAAGCGGTGTCCCCGAGACAGGGATTGGTATCGAGGACTGAGTAGATTGATCGCAGTTCACGACTTTTGGTTTGAAAAACCCCATCAGTGACTTTTGGCCTGCTGTTGTGGCCCCTGGAGATGCTGTTGCTGAGGACTTGCTGCGTTTCGTCAGTGGAGTTGGGAGAGGTTGCGAGCGCTTGCGAGAAGCAGTATGATTTAATTGATTGTCGGTTTTGATGGGCGCAGAAGAGCTTTGAACAATTCCACTAGATTGGGATGTTGTAGTTGCGACCGGTGATTCTGGAGTTTGAGCCTCGGATTCTGTAGTGAATGCCAGGGCCGAGTGCACCGGTTTCGTTGGAGCACTGGCCGGTTTGCGAGCAAACATATCCTTGATACTTTGGCGCTTATTAACGTCAAACTCTGGTAGTAAACGTCCTGAAGCAGGCAATGCAAATTTGACCGAGTATTCCTGTTGGCGCTCGCCATTTTTGAACATTCCCGGTGGGTTAAGAATGTCCCTGATGTTCACCGGGCCTTCCGGCTGCGGTATGGAGTCTTTGAAATCGACGAAGACAGGGCAGTGGTCCGATCCCTAAATAGCGATCAATCATTAGCCATCAACCCTGTACCAGCTATTGAACGAACTCTCACCATCAAACCTTCCTGGATATTGGATCCTGAGAGCCAGTCCTGCATATTCAAGCTGCAAAGCACATAGTCGATCCTTGAACCATAGTTTCCTGGCCGAGTATTAAGTTTCTGATCCCAACACGTATACATCCCAGTACGATCTGGATGGAACGACCTGCAGATATCAAAGAGAACCGGCTCTTCCCTGCCGCTATCGCGTTCACCGATAACGACACCGTCAGATAGCAGGTGATTGAAAAGACGCCGAGCAGGGCTAGATATGAACTCCTCCTCCGACATTGTGCCCTTCCGTATAGCTTCCATCCCATGTGCTGCATCGAATCCCCGTTTTGCAATGTTGATATCTCCAGCCACGATCACGCGTTTTCCCATCGCTGTCAGGTTGCGGACCCGAGAATCCAAGGCATTGAGAAAGTCCATGCGGAAGGTATCTCGACTTTCGTCCCGATTTGCTGGACAGTATACACCAATGAGGACAAAGGCGGGAAACTCCAGAATAACACAGCGGCCTTCGGAGTCAAGGGTAGATGCATCGATTCTGGCTCCAGGCCTCGGGTTGGAGTCATCTTGCTCGTCTTCTGAATTAGGCTCTTCAGGATCTACCACTAGTCGGGAAAGTTGCTCAGCGGTGGGATATCCACCAATCTGTTGCTCTTTTGGAAGATCACAGAATGATACCGCCGAGTTCGGCGGGCAGAGAACACCGGTGATGCCTTCTTCGGCCCGTATGGGAGCACATGTGGCATTGCGCGTGTATATTACAACACCAGAGTATCCTTTAAACTGTCAGTAACAGGTATAGAATACGTAGCAGGAGCAGCTTGCCTTTCTTAAATCGAGGGAGACTGAAGTAGCAGTCCCAACCTGGCACCAAGACCATGTCATCGCGGAGGTCTTTGCGTTGGATCTTGGTCTCTTGGAGAACGACAATATCAGATTCCAGGATGTCAAACATGGACTTGGGTGACTCGATTAGCTACTCATATCTGTAAGGAAAGGGATGGACGCTTACCTCGAACGTGCGCGTCCCTCTCCATGGCTCATAGGAAAACGGATTTCTTGACAGGTAGTGAGTCTTATATCTTCAGCCTACAGGGGCTTAACATACCGGATACCATTGACTAACCATGTGTGATTAGCATATATTTCATCCACTTCCTGTCAACAAATCAGATGGAGCTCACCATTCCACGTCGTGATACGGAATCCCATGCTGGAGGCTAGTGTTCCAATAAGCACAGCAGCATGTCCAGTAGTGAGCGAATAGCCACAACAAAAAATGCTGCTCAAGTCGTGGCATCGACAGCTCTGTCGAATCGCGGTGCATACGTATCCCGTGACATATCTATCACGTGATATAAATGGGGTGATGTCAACTTACATAAGCCGGGAGATCACGGGGATACGCTAAAGGCGGCTTTTGCTTCAACGCACCACCTCCGGTCCACCACCTGCAAAAGAACCCCTTAGCACCCACCCACCATGTTCTCTCAGCGCAACATTGCCCGCCTGTCCCAGCGTGCTTCGCAGCAGATGCGTTCCGCTCCGGTCCGCTCGACTGTCCAGCGCCGTTTCAACAGCGCCGAGGCCAAGCCCTCATGGATCGTCGACAACGAGTTCAACCGCGAGAGAGCTGCCGTCAAGCACCACGCTGCTTCCACTAGTGGTGCGTAACCCACTCAATTGATTCATATCCAGGTTATTCCCGGCGGAAAATACTGATCGCTAACCCAATGATTGTTTAGACCTCTGGCGCAAGCTGTCCATCTTGTATGTCTCCAATGGCTTTGATGCCCGCACTACCAGAACAGAAACTAACTGCCCCGCAGCGCTGTCATTCCCTGCCTGATTGGCGGTGGTCTCAACGCCTACAACCTCTGGAACGAGCACTGGGAGCACTGGGAGCACATGCCTCCTATCGAGGAGCGCACCGAGTACCCTTACCAGAACATCCGTGTGAAGAACTTCCCCTTCGGTGACGGTGACAAGGTACGTTCTCTCCTGACTTTGCGATAAAGATGTAAGCTAACCAATATGCGATACAGACCCTCTTGTGAGTTTCAACCCCGCCATACATTATCAATCTTCCTGCAGAACAGTCGGCTCTGCACCGAACAAGTGCAAGCTGACTTGACACCTGCTTCTTTTCTTCTTATTTCCCACAAATAGCACCGCTAACTGATCTATCTCTAGCTGGAACTCCGAAGTCAACTACCACAACAAGGACAAGGCCACCTAAATAACGCCATTGAGGGTCGAGAAATACCTCAGAATCTTTTTGGCAGACCCTCTTCTGCGCGTGCGAGGGCTGTCTTCTTTGGGTGCATATCATGTGTATATCTATCTCGCTGTTGTTTTAGGGGTGAAATACAGTCAGATGCTTGGAAAGATGGGGTCCAGTTGACAGAATGAAGCGACGCTTCGTATTTCTTAACATTCATTCGTGCTGCTACTTATTCCTTTTGTCCGCTCTTGGATTCTTCTCTTATATTGATCTATCCGGAATTCAATATCTACTTGGGTTGTCGGATGTAACCTAGCTCAGTAAGTAGATAACGCGCCTCCAACTGCCCACAGGACGGAATATACCAGAGATTGTACCGGAAGGTGACCGGCAAGTCATATGGATAGCTGGGTCGACGAGTGGCTCCAGTCCCTGTTAGCTTGACTGGATGCTTATAGGATTATTGCGCTTGCATTATTTGATATTGAATTGTTCAAGGGGACAATTGAAAGTTTTAATGGCGGTTCTCTATTTCCCCTGTACTAAGCAATGGGTTAATTAAAAAATATAGATCGAAGAAAATCATTTGAGTGTCAGCAATATCTACTTCCCTGTAGAAGAAAAGCCTTTTGGGAGAATAACCAAGCAAATTGCAGTCAACCACATTTGGATTTGTTCTGCAGTGCGAGCCCCCATCTGTTTCTGAGAAAAAGAAAGGAAAAAGAAAGTAAGTAAGAAAGAAACTAAAGCAAGTCCTCGAATGCCAAACGAGAATAAATCTGCGCACAAGGAAGGATCTCGTCAGGAATCACCAAGCAATCCGCTTAAGGTCACTTGAGACCTTCCATCCATGCGCGCGGCAAGCTCTAGTGTAAGCAGCCACTGCTTCACCAACCGAGTAGTCAGTCTTGGAAGAACCAGGTAGCAAACGAGCAGGTCTGGGGTCAGTGGCAGTAAGAGCCATGCGAACCTGCAGCAGGACACTCTCAATCGAAGCAGAAGGCAACCAGCCAGAATGAGTGAGGAGCTCCATGCACATCGCGCCGCCGGCCGTAACGTGTCCGCCACCGCCAGCAGCAAACTCAAGGAAGCGAGGACGGATGACCCGCACAAATGGCGGGTCCATTGGGAATTGGGGAGGGAATCGAAGCTCGAGGACAATGCTTTTCAAGTTGGCGGCTTTGAGATCCTTTGCGAGTGGGAGCCTTGGGTCGAAGGTATGTAGTTCCACGATCCATTGGTAGACTGTTGTAATCAGGTTGACATCGACGTACCAGCCCAGTTCGCTGAGTGGGACTTGTTTCTGGACTTTGATGGTTGCGTTGAGATGCTGCTGGAGCATCTTTGTCGCTGGCATGGTGGCATACTGTGGTGGGTTGAGCAGAGACAATGTTTCCTCCGTCAGGGTTCCAGGTCGGAAATCAGTCTTGGGATCAACGGGGGTGGAGCTTGCTTGTGAGCTTCCTGTTGGTGTATCTTGCATTTCGTTGTCTGAGAGAAGGATTGTGATATCTTCTATATCGGTTTCGATGCTGTCATTATCATCGTTGTCGTTGTTATAACTCTTGTTGGTGTCATTATTGTCATTATTGTCATTATTATCGTTATTATCGTTGTCATCAACGTCCATGGGGTGATTTTGAGTGTGTCCGAGTAAGAATTTGCGCCTTTTGGGTGGTGCAGCAAAGTCAATAACCACAGGCGTACTTGGCTTTTCTGTCGCAACATGAAGAGTTCGACCACGCTGGCCGCTTAGTGCCGATATTGGTATCCTGATGGGTGTTCCATCGGGGCCATAAACACGACAAGAAGGATCCTGTTTGTAAATGAAACTTCCATCTTGGTTGGTGTTTGATGGCTTGGATGTTGACGTCGAACCCTCGGAGGGGCTGATGAGCTTGACGAAAAGGTATCTTGGTTGGATCCAGTCCAAATTTCGCACGACGTAGTGTGGAGTTTGACACACGAAGTCGATGGGAGAATTGACTACTTCGTTCAACGAAACCACTGTCGTGATGTCCATTCGATTCTGGGGCCAAGTGCCAGAAGTATGGCGATTGGTGTATCCCAACGAAGTGTGGAAGGTATTGGACATGTAGACTCCATTGCCACAGGAACGGCCGTTGATCACTCGTTTGAAATGAAGACCTTCGCGGAGGATACTGTGCCAGTTATGCACAGGGCTCCCATGCCAAGCGAAGAGCGTCGGGTGCTTGGGTTTGGTTTTCATGGATACGGAATTGACAGCATCCACAAATCGCTGCTCCTTGTCGGCGGCACCCTGCACAAGTCGAAACTGGACATAGTCGTCCATGCCGCGCACTTGGTGACGAGTCTCCTTGTTGTCCATTCTAATGAACGATCGATTCGATGCAACGATCCATCGTAACAGATCCAATGCAGCGGGAGAAATCATTTCTTTCCATGAAGAGAGAGACCTTTCTTTTCCATACTCGCCGATAAACGCCTTCATGTCCTCGATTTCTGGAAGCGAGCTCAACAATACGGAGATCATAGTTTGCTTTTGTGGGGCTGGCAAATCATCAAAATTTGTGTTATAGATCACGAAATTCACCTTTTTCGGCTGATCTATCAGGTCTGTTGCCTGAATCTGACGACCGAGGGCGATTGGTAGCGAAATTCGAATATGGTTCGAAGATTCGCCGACTTGGTCAACACGGCAATGCCAGTTTTCCCTCCATAGATCCTTATCAGTAGAGGCCTCGGGGCGAACGATGGCAATCCAATCACCTACTTTTACCTGAGGTGGTTTGTCTGTGCAAAGGTCAAGCTTTGATGCAGTCAATCGCCCGACAAGCAACGGACCGGATTTGGGGTCCTTTCTCGAAAGCATTTCGGCGGGAACTCGAAGCGCAAGACCGGTTGGGAAATCTTCAAGAAGCATCGATGTAGCTCGGGCGTATGCCAGGCTGATCAGCAAGTCGACGACAAAGGGCTGCGAGCAGATCTCATATTCCAGACCTGGACCCATGTCCATTGCCATGTATTGATACAAGCACAGACCACTTGAGCAAACATACGGCTTGAGTGCCTCGAAAGTATCACCGGTCTTGCAATGGCAGACAAGGCAAAACTCTGTGCATTTAACAAAATGGCGCAGGGTAAACTGCATGGCAAGAAGAGGCAAAGATAGGACATTCATATTCTGATCGATCTCAACCATATGATCAGCCGCAAGAAATGTTGGCGTCGAAGTAGCCCAGCTGTCCGGCTGACGATATTCATCTGAAATGGTATCGAAGTCAACGAGGATTTTGCCTTGGTTGGTGTGGAAGTATAGTTCGGCTCCCGTCCATGAAAGTCCATGCTGCACCCGAAGTCCGATTATCTTCAGAAGTCGTTCTTTGAGAAGCGAGTTGATTGATCTTCCGATGAACAGCGGCCTCATAGGGTGGCCTGCTAGTATATTGTGTGAATCGGGGTTCGTGTGCTTGGCCGTTTGAGCATGTGTGCTTTCAATGGACTCCACAGCATACTCCAGAGACGGTTTGTATGAATCACAAAGTCCAACGTGCATCTGAACGAAGGTAGGTTTTGACTCGCGCTCCGCCTCGAAGATTGTTTCGAGATCCAGGTAGGTTGGCCGGTAACGAATCAGTAATACCAGGTACTCCGAGGGACGGACGTTCCATGCATCCATAGCCTCCTCGGAAATTCCCAGTTTGGCAATGCGACAGGAGACAGAAACGATGATATCCCCGTGTAGTGAGCCCAGGTGTCCCACCTTGAATCCCGCATTCTTGGCAGCAAGCAAGTCCCGGCGAATCTTCTCACGTATCATCTGCTCACTTTCAATGCCCACGGGAAGAAAGTCGCCGGCTTCTTGATCTTCCCAGTCTGAGTCGCCATATCCAGAGACCAGGTCCTCGTCGCTGAAACCCAATCCATCATCTAGCAGACTGGATGTGTCATTGGGGTCAACGATGGTATCGGTAATGACATTCTCAATGCTACCCAGCATGTCATGGATCGTTGATCCTGTGAAGAAAGAGACACAGTTCTCAACGGCTGAGGTGACAGCCTTGGGACAATCTTCGGACGTCGAAAAGATCAGGTAGCTGTGATCTTTTGGGTAATCATGAGAATCTGTTATTGGTTCAGTAAGATGTTTCGAAAAGAAATGCACATAAAATAACCAACCGGATAATATGACCTGGAACTCAAGCTCAAGGTTTGTCCCAGGTGATTTGAACATAAAGGAGACCGATCCTTCATATTCCCCAGCCTTAACATCTGTTATGCTGGAGAAGGTGCCAGGGATGGCAGCCGCCTCAAAATCCCTCAAGAAGTCTTTTCGTGGCATGATGACGAAGGGTCAAATGCGCGGACCTGAGAGTTCTTGATTGTAATGTGACAGGCGAAGACCAACCAAGGTAAGAAGCGAAAGGTCAGGGAACCCGATGAAAAGAAAGAGGCCCAGTGACAAACATGAGCAGAGATAGTTGTGGACGAGAAGGTAGAGAAGCGAGTATTAATGAAGTAGAAATCAACACAAAGCCCAAGAAGTTCGAATATGAGGTACAGCGGAGCCCCCACATCGGTCGATCAGCCAGGCTTGGCACTTGCTGCCTGAGGCGGTTCTATACTCTTTTTTGACTCACTTGGACCACTACACGTCATTTTTCATGCTATTGTGCGTCCTTACAGTGATCCAAGGTAGAATGGTACCAATAATTCATGAGAGGACCTCAGCAAGACCGTTATTCCCAAATATATACGCTGAAACTGACCAAACAGGGTATACTATTCCTTCAGCCTCTCCAAGTCCGTCACAGCCATAGGCCGATTAAACAAAAAGGCCACACTAACCAGCCCCTTCCCAATGGCACAAAGGAGAATAGGAAAAGTCGAACTAACCTCCCGCTTCGCAAAAGCACCAACAAAACACCCAGCAGTCAACATAATCAGAAACATAACCCTTCGATTCCTCAGCCGATTCTTCAACTGGCCCAAACACGGATCAACAACCACATCAATGAACGCAGCTGTCGCCATAGCAGTAGTAATTTCCGTGATCTTCAACGACCGACTCATAGCAACCTGCCCACCAGACGAGAACGCCAAACAAGCAATAACAGCCATAGCAGCGGGACCGTCACGGCGAATGGGAAAACAATACTGGATAGCGACAGCCGTGAAGACAAGAGCGGTTTGAATAAAATTACTGATGAGGAGCCATAGTCGTCGTCGGACACCGATATAATTCCCTAGTTGACCCATAACGAAACCGCCTGCCACGAAATGGCTCAGACTTACCCCAATATTGGGGAAGCTGTATGCATTGTTGGTCAGGCCTGCTACGCCAATTGCGAGGAAGAGTGTGTTTCCTGTTTGGTTGGAGGCGAAGCAGGTGTAGTCGGGCCAGGCAGCTGCATCTTGGATGCCCGTTGCGAAGGAGAGGAGTAGTAGTTCGCATTCGAGGAGGAGGTCCTCGCGGATATCTTCCATTAGGAAGTCCCGTAGCCGGAATTTGCGGGGTTTGTTGGTTAGAGGTAGTGTGTCGTCCATTTTGAGATTTGCTACTGATCAATGTTAGTATGTGATGCGGTCTAGCAAGTTTGTCTTATACTCACGGTAATTCCAAATGACACACGGGGTTAGACGGGAGCAGATCGCTGACCAACACGAACTTGTGATCTTAGGGTCCACAATATCGAAGATCTAAGCACGTTCGTCTCGGGTTCCGGTATCAAGATCAACGAATATCAACGAGCTACCAGTTGGAGTATGAACTGAACCACGCCGAAATGTCCTCAACATAACGAACGCTTTCAGCTTGGCATCCGGCTATATACATGTACATGGCACTCAATTCCTTGAAGCAAGATCAAACCCTACCGACATTCCATGCTGACGTATATCCATCATTCCAAAAGAACGAAGAATTCCAGGCCAGCAGCGTCGAAGATCGACGATTGTGGAGTTCAGCAAGGTGTGCAGTATGTGTGGCTTTGATATCCAGGCTAATCTGGCGTCTTTTATGGGTTGATGGGCTATCAGTGATGGAATCTAATTCGTGGCCTTGTTTCTATTCGCTCCACGTATATCGGGCTTCCACCTTAGAACTTACTTGTATACAGTAACTACCGGGACATGCCAAGGTTGAGACTTGATCATCGGTTTAATATAGGCATTTGGACTAACTGTTACTGTCGAAGGTGTATGTTTACGTTGATTATTTGGAAATTCTTATCAGTCCCATGCGTGGACTTGTTGGGATCGGGGCTTGGGTCGTCATTCTGAGATAATGGTATAAGTAGAGAGGTATGTCGGGCAATAAACGCCATTCTGTTATACAATTGGAGGACTGCCTAGGTAGAAAGTATATACACATCAAACTCAACGCAAGCGCTTTGAGAAAAGAAAGCACCAGCAGATAAGAACTCCAACTCCACACCAGGCCTGCACAAACCTATGTGCAGGTATACAGTCCCAATATTTAAACGAACAAAGAACTATTGGGAGCAAGAGTATCCAGCCCAGACTCACCCTCCAAGAGCGGGAAGAGTCTGCGAATGCGATCCTCAAGAATAGCATCCTCAGCCTCCCAGCGTCTGCGATCAAGAGTCTTAGCCTGAGCACGACGCTCACCACCAAACCAAGCATTCTTGGCCTGCTCTCTGCTCTCCTGCTCTTCCTTCCGGGAACGAGCAACTAGGGAAGAGACCATAGTTTTCCAGTTCTCCAGGCCAACCTTGACACACTGCGCACAGCGAGTGCGGGCATCGCGGTTGTCGGAGTTTCCAAGGTCGAGCATCGTAGACTCGGCCATATCGACAGCATCCCGAGTCCAGGCGAGGCCTAATTCTTTGTTTGAAAAGGCGTAGAGGATCTCGCCGATGTAAGTCATTAGACCTGCTTCTTCGCAGGCAGATGCGCTTGTGCGCTGTGGGGGCTTATCGCCTGATGGGAGGGGTTCGGGGTAGGTAACAGGGACGAGGACGTTTTTGATTGATTTGAAGAGGGAGGTGAAGATGTCGTTGGTATTTTTGTGAGGGGATGGGAAGGAGGGGAGGCTGAAGTCTTCTGAGAGGGGTAGGTTGCGGCGGGCTTGAAGGACTGATGTGAAAAGGGAGAGAGCCATTGGGAGGTTGCCTTGGCGGGCGTTGTGGACTGCAAGAGCTGTAGAGACACGAAGGAGGTTCTCTGATGGTAGATCCCCACCCTTGCTGTTCTTCAGAACTCCGTTTTTCATGTCCACAACCTTGTTGACGTCTCCTTCCAGTCCACCAGTGGCAATGTCCAAGGCCCAGGTGTACATGTCACCGGCTGTCTGGCCGAGACCCTTGAAATCAAGCCAATCGGCATATGCCAAAGCAGCGTCGAGTTTCTGCCTTGTATCAAAGCCCCTAGTCGTCAAGACCTTCATATAGAAACTCTCCGGAGACGGAGAAGCCTGTTCGCAGTCCTCCTCATGCGGGACCTTCTTCTGACCAACAGGCATAGGCTTCGGCCTAGGGTTGGACGGCCCAACAACATACTCCGCGGGGGCAGAGATACGCTGCTTGCGATCCGTCAACCAGCCATCCAGATTCTCAGCAGCCTTAGCAGCGCCCATGAGCGCCTGGAAATAGCCACGACGCCAAGGCTCACTCTTCGCCGAAACATCAAGCCCAGTCCGGCCAACACCTTCAACCAAGAATCCGCCCTCGTCCTGCTCGATAATGCCCTTGCCTTCAATCTCAGGATCTTCTAGACGCTCCAGCAACTCACGCAAATATCCAGCAACCATAGGCCAATTGGTCATAAGCTGACCAATCTGTTCAGGGTTCTGCTGTGCCTGCGCAGAGCGCAAACACCAGCGACTTTTCCAAGACCATTCCGGCGGCGTGGGCCACGAATGTTCAATATCTTCTTGGTAAACGCCGAGCTTGACGACGGAGAAAAGGACGAGAATGGCGTAGAACGACAAGCCAACCTTGATACCGCGCGATAATCGGCGCTTGTAGTGTTCACGACTTTCGGTTGAGATCAGACGGCCGAAGTGTTGGCGAAGGTGGATTGATAGAGGTGGAAGTGGTCGGGCTGGCGCAAGCGGTGATAGGAAGGGTAGTTGTGGTCGACCTTGCGCCGGAGAAAGAAGTTGTAGGCGTGTGCGTTGAGTGAACGGCCGGAGGTGGACGTTTGGGCCAGGGGTCCGAGGTGGTAGCACCGGCCGGATATGGCCCTGTATTCGCCCAATAGCGCTGCGAGGTGGCAACATTGTTGAACTGTTGAAAAGCAGTGGTGAAGCCTCGACGACCTGGGGATCCGATATGCTCGTTTGTCTTGTTTGTTTGTCACGTGACCCGCAATTGCCGACCTTAAAGTGACCAGCGAGAATCCAATGCCACTTTCCAAGGATTTCACACGAGTGCCTACGATTGGAGCAAAGTATGAATCAAAAAATCTTCGATAAACCGAAATCAAACGTCTATTGGCAAAGTATCTAAGCCAGGGGAATCCAAATAAAGCCCACTACCAAAAACCAGTACACATTTCTATGCACAAGAGACCAAAAACTACTCCAGTAAATTCCATCCAATCAGAAAATAGCTTACTGACGCTCCAGGAAGCCCTGGCTCTCGAGAATGAGAATGATCTCGTGGACGATGCTGCGCACGCTCTGCTTGGAGAAGTCGACGACGAGGTCAGCCTTCTCGGGAGTCTCATAGGGGTCATCGACACCAGTGAAGCCCTTGATCTCGCCACGGCGAGCGGCGGCGTAGATGCCACGCTTGTCGGTCTTCTCGCAGTGCTCAAGGGGAGTAGCGACGTGAACCAGGAAGAAGGAACCAGCCTGGGAGACGGCGTCACGGGCGTACTTGCGGGAGACTTCGTGGGGAGCGATGGGGGCAGCGATGACGGCGGCACCGGCGCGGGTGAGCTCGGTGGCGACGAAGGCAATACGCTGGATGTTGGTGTGACGGTCCTCGCGGGTGAAGCCAAGCTCGGAGGAGAGCTCATGGCGGACGGTGTCACCCAGCAGCAGGGAGACAGAGCGGCCACCCTGCTGGTTCAGGGTAACCTGGAGGGCACGAGCAATGGCGTCCTTGCCGGAGTTCAACAGACCGGTAAGGAAGATGGTGAAACCTTGGGTGGCACGAGGGGGGTTGGACTCGCGCAGGATCTTGACAACCTCGGGGTAAGAGAACCACTCGGGGATGTGAGCGCCGGAGCGCAGACGGCGACGGAGCTCGGTACCGGAGATGTTGAGGGTCTTGACGCCAGCGGGGACCTGGTCAACGGGACGGTACTCGTCGGTGTCAGGGAGGTAGGTAACCATCTGGAACTCGACGACCTCGATGCCGAGCTCGTCCTTGTACTTCTCGACGGCGTGCTGGGCATCGTAAGGACCGTAGAAGTCCTCACCCTTGGAGTTGGAACCAGGACCAGCGTGGTCACGGCCGACAATGAAGTGGGTGGCACCATGGTTCTTACGGATGATGGCGTGCCAGATGGCCTCACGGGGACCACCCATACGCATAGCCAGACCGAGCAGACCCAGAACGGCCATGCCGTTGGGGTAACGGGGGAGGAGAGCCTGGTAGGCACGGACACGGGTGAAGTGGTCAATGTCACCAGGCTTGGTGAGACCGACGACGGGGTGGATCAGGACGTTAGCCTGGCGAGAGCGGGCCGCGCGGACGGTAAGCTCACGGTGAGCACGGTGCATGGGGTTACGGGTCTGGAAAGCGACGACACGGGACCAGCCCAACTTGTCGAAGTGGACGCGCAGCTCCGCGGGAGTGTCTGAGGTTATATTAGTCCAAATCCCAGTCACAATCGGGATTCCAACATACAGCGGAGAGCGACATAGTCGTAGTGGTTCAGCTTGTTGACAGCCTCAATCTTTCCACCAATGTAGAACTCCTCAACGGTCTCGTTCAGGTACTTGATGGCAGGGTGCTCGGGGTCACCGCCGAAGACGAGCTTAGCCTCTCTGGCCCTAATCAGGGGGAAATTCCACGTCAGCGAGCCCCACTAAAAAAGCACAAGCCTCAATGGGCTTATACTTGCGTAACGCTCGAGGTTTGCGACACCGAAAAGAAACGCCACGAGTGCTTTTGGTCACTCAATATGAAAAAACGAAAGCACTGGTGTGTGTTCCAGGGATGCATCTCTAACGATCGCCAATGCAATCCCGAGACTCGAAAAGCAAAAAGGTCCAAAACTCACTTATCGGGGCGGTAGATGTCGTCAATGGTCAGGATGGCCAAGTTGCGGTCGTCACGGAAGTCACGCAGGGTAATACGGGAACCAGCCTGGAGCTTGTTCTCGCTGATAACCTTCTGGCTGGCATCGAGGGTGATGGGCATGGAGAAGACGTTGCCATCGGCAAGGCGGTTGTCCTCACAGACGCTATATGCACATCATCAGCATTATGCATTTTGTACAGAATGACCGGTCTCATTCCAATGGCTCATAATACATACCCGTCATAATCGGCCTGGTTCATGAAACCTGCATGAAGATCGGCGTCAGCTATGCCCCTCCCCAAAAAATACAGATCCAATCCCGCCACACCACCAAGCGGTTCCAAATAATCAATTGAACATACCTTCGAGAGGAGAGAAACCTCCGTTCATGATCAGCTCGAGATCACACAGCTGGCGCTCGGAGAGCACAACAGCGGGCAGGGTCTCGGCCTCAGTGGCGAGCTCAGCCTGGCGGGGAGCATCGCGGGCGAGGAGATCCTTCAGGACACCACCGTGGGGAGTGTTGGCCATTGTGTAATTAAAAGATAAAAAGAACTTTTTGAAAGTCTCCCTGAAAATGGAAGATAATGTACAAAAGGGAGTGGAAGAAAGGAAGGGAGAGCCAGTGACTTTATGAAATTCTCACGGAGGGGCCACGACATGGCATCAGTCGTCAACAGTGGAGCATGGGGGGCTTGGCTTGGCCGATTCCGCCATCCAGAACAAGTAACCAGATGTCTATCAACTTCCGTTTCCTTGAATTGCACGTTTCATTTTCCACTATTCGTTCCAGGGGACTAAGATTCGTTTCTGTGGTTTCACTCCCTCTATTTTCTATCTACACGTGGTCCCTTCATCCCCTCTAACTCTACTCTGCTCCGAGCTGTACCACAGGTTTCCATATCTCCGATGTCTCCGAGGCGGAATGGCGTACGTATTCGTAAATGGCGGGGATCTTCTGGATTTTCAGGGGGCGGCATATTCTTGGCCCACTGGATAGTGATCCTCGTTATACTGTAAGTCTGCAAAGCATCAATTCCATCCCAGGTCACCCAAAGTCTCTATACAAGTTTATACATCGAGCGAACAAGAAATGTCTCAGCCCAGCCTTACGCCATTCTTCAAAGTCACGTGTTGCAGCACGCAACCTCCACGGTCAATCACGACATTGACCCGTCCCAATCAGGTAAGGATCGTCTTGGCATTCTATCTAAAACCCTAAATGCCGCAATCTCTACATGGAACAGCTTCATCTACAGATGTACACAGAAGTACAGAAGTACATATTACAATCAACGATAACATACAATAGCCCTATATTACATCAATTACTCACTACCTATGTACAAACTTTTCCACCTCTTCCTCATCTCTCACTGCGCCGTCACCGTACTGTTAGGGAGTGTGATGGTCAGATTCTTAAAGTCCAGAGTAAACGCCCCCTCCTTCATCGAAGGATGGGTGGCATTCGTATAAGAATCAATTAGATATCCCTGGATATGATCCCCAGAGGCCATGGCCGAATTGAGCGAGCCAGTCTTCTGCAGAATGTACAGCACAGCAACCTGGGAGAACTCAACCACTTCTGAAGGAACAGCCGTCGCAGTTGCAGTAGATGCGGCAGCAGATGCCTCGGTGGCTGAAGAGGGCTGGAAACTGATCTTGGTGGCTGTACCGGTGGCCGTTGAATCGGGTGCGTGGTCTGGTTTGGTGGCTGATATGCTTGGTGCTGCGTCGTCGTACAAGATACCGTTGACAGTGGCTTCGGCGCGAGATACGAGGACGGGCGTTGGGCCGGAAGTCACGAGAGGAGAAGAAGCGTGGTTCTTTTCGGATGGGATTGAGTCTGCTAGCATGTCGAGAGAACGACGGCTGTTGCTACTGCTGGTACTGTTGGTAGTCTCAACATCACTGAAAGCAACTAGCGCATTCTCCGTCTTGCATGAGATATTGTTCATGCTGAAGAGGGCCATGATAGTGTAGGCGTCGAGAGTGATATCGAACTTCTTCTTAGACTCATCGAACAAATTCGCGAGTGAGCTGCCCATGGTTGCATTCTTGGTCGAAGTGCCGCTCAGGATGGCGTGAGTGGTACAGCTACCGTCATTCTCAACGGTGCATTGCGAGCCGGTATAGCCATTCGAGCAGACGCATGAGCATTCACTGCCACTCGAGACACTAATGCCTCCATTCTTGCAGGGGTTGCTGTTTGCACAGGCTGCGTCTTTATTCGCCTTTTCGCGAGGGACGGCGATAAGGAAGACTGGCAGAAGAACTGCAAGGATGACGATGATGAAGATGATGATGCAGAGAATCACGAAGACCTTGCGGGACATTCCGCAGCAGGTTTTCTTGCGCTTGGGGGCGTTTGGCTCGTCATCGTTGGAGTTGAGTTGCTCGACGTTACGCAGGTTTGAGCGGCCGAAGAAGATAGGCCAGGATCCACGGCCTTCGGGAGTCTGTAAGCCTGGTGGAGGGAAGGATGCGAGGATATCTGACAGGGGAGCCAGAGTTGCGGCGGCGCTTTTCACCATTTCCTAGACAAACGTTAGTATTCTCGGATTTTATATCCATACACAGATACAGGATTATAAACTCACCCATCGCAGACTTAAATCCTGTCTCACCACCTGCAGCCAAATCAGCCCGGCTGGCAGTCCTCCCATGGTCCAAGTTCGACGCAAGCTTCGTAGCACGACGGATCAAATCAGACAAGCTTGAAAGACTTCCACGAGCCTCTGCATCCCGCAACGCACCCATGTTCAGAGCAGGGGGCTTGCGACCTCCGGGTCTCTTATCGCTCATAGTAGGTGCAGCTCTAGGCAGATCCCCACCGAAGACCTCAATCTCCTTCTGTAGAGCAGCACTGTACGAAGAATTGTGTTGTTCGCGCTGGGTAAAGGGTGGCTTTTCCGGGTCAATGCCGTTCAAAGAGTCACTCGATGCGGTAGATGTAGATGCCTTTCGTAGATTGCTTGGTGGATAGAGCATTTGGTTGGCGGCAGCTCCCGCTCCCACTCCAGCGGCTGCGTCTACAACTGCAGCCTTGTTTGAGTGCTCCTTTGGGGTGGGTGGTGCATCTGGAATAGAAACCACAGACGCAGGATTAGACTTGAGGATCGTGCGCATTGTTGGCTTCCCACGCTTTCCAAGACTAGCACTTCGGACAAGGGTTGCATTTTCCTCTTTGGGACTTGGGCGAGGCTCGTCATCGTCTGATTCTATGTCAAGATATGCACCCAGGATCTCTGATTCCGGAGGGCCAGAGCCCCAACTAGACGGGATCGCTCGGCTGGATGCGAAAGAGCCCTTGGTGAAACGGGGATCGGGAAGATCCTCCGGAATGGGAGCCACGGACGATTGAGCTCGAGGGGGTCGTCGAGCATTTGGAGGCGCGACCAGACCTGCTGTCCGCTGGAAAGGATCTTGGGAAACATGGGGTTCAAGCGGTGGGATTGGAGGAGGGAATGGTGGCACATCTGGAATTGAAGCCGTCGAGGAGGCGGTCGACTGTCTGAACAAGTCATCGGTGGCAATCGAGATGCGAGGAGTCATGTCGACTGTACTAGTGGGACTAACAGGAGGCTCGGCCTTCAAGGGCCGCCGAGGTTGCAACGGCGGAGGCGGCTGCAGCTGTGAAAAAGATCGGGGAGGCCGTGATGTAATGTTTGAGCTTGTTTCTGAGTCCTGGCCATCCCGTTCTGAATAGATTGACGGTGAGGGAATTTGGCTCTGGCGCGAAGGCATCTCACTTGGACGTGGCGGTCTTTGTGGAGGAGGTCCTTGTGGGAGCAAATACCTTGGATGGTGGTTGATTGGATTTGGCGGTAAGCCTGAGTCAGGCAGAGGCCATTGTGTCCGGTGAGAAATGTCTCTAGGCAGGGGTGACTGTCTCATCTGGTTGGATGGCGATGCTCGTTCCGGACGCACGCCAGCCTCAAGCAACTGTCTGGCGTGCTTGACTGACCCTTTCCTGTCGAGATCCCCGGACGGACGAGGACCCGGTCCGTAAGTTGGTGCACTCATTTGGTTACTTTGTTGATATGCCAAGCCTTGGGTTAAGTGTTGAGCAGGATCTCGTGTGTTGTTGTTGACGAGAGGTTAGGGCTTGTAGTACATCAAGCAACTTGGAACTGCGGCTCAGTAGAAAGAATGTTTTCATCCCCTGATTAAGAACTGAAAAGGAATGATAACTGGCTCGATACCCTGATCGAGTGAAGAATGAGAGAAAAAGAGGCTTTGAATAGCGAAAGAGAGGAACGGTGACAGCTTGAAGCAAGTGTCTGATAGAATGCGGATAGGGTGATCGACCAAAGACTTGATAACCACAGGATCAAGCTTGAATCGCTAAAGAAAGGAAGGGACATTCAATGCCTCTGTTGAATAAGGTCAGATCAACCTATCCCAGTGTTTTTCAAGGCTTACCACTGCATACCAATAAAAACGAGAGAACTGAATCGCTAGTATCAAACCGCGTTCAAAAGGCAAACTGGCGTTCCATTACCCCGAGAAAGGGAGAACAAGACACAGTCGAAGGAAACGAGCCTCCAAAGAAAAGAAACGGAGGGGACATCTCCTGACGGGGGCCCTGACACACTCCGGCACTATCTAAAACCTTGGGCTAAAATAGATTAAACGGGATATTTTGCAAGCGAGGTGGAGGCTGGCGCAATTAATCTTTAAAGGCATGCTCCGTGTAATATAACAGCCACATCAATGCCCATATATCAGAGCAGAATCCTGCATAAACACAGTGCTGACCGACTGGTCGGCTCCCACGACCAGTCGAATTTGCAGCGAAGCAAGCATCCGGCAGTTGATGGACCGCAAATTCAGGAAAATGGAGAGCTAAACATGAGACTCTAGGCGAATCAGCCGACCATGATGGGGCCAAATGCACGAATCGCGCTGTCAGATCTCGAGGATGTTGCGCCAGTGGGGTCTGTTCCAGGAGTTAGTCCCGGACGCTACGTCTCATATTAAGAGTGGGCTCCCTGGGCCAAAGCGGGCAACCTGAAACGCGAGTAAACAATCAGAATCTGACGTATGGTCAAGGTGTATACTGTAACGTTAACCAGATAACGAGAAGTGGTAAACAACGTTGGAAGATAACAGCTTTAGATGAGTGGGGAAATGTAGTCGGCTCCAGCGGCTCGGGGATTTTGTTCGTTAGCGATGGCCTGGGCTTGGCGGGACGGGTCTACTTACTATCTGAGTATGTCTAGTGTGTTAGATCAGGAACATTCACTATGTCTACGCCTATAAATATTTCATCAATCGCCCCCTATACCACAATGGGGCATATAAACCCTCAATGGGACTTGAAGCCGAGGGAATCCACCGTTCGCATACATGTCTCTCGGTGGAGCACTTCTGGCTGTCTAATTTTTGATTGCTTTTACTATGCAGTTGGTCACATTTGGTAAGAAAAAATAATAGTCCAGTCTTGGGAACAGGCCTGTGTGACGGTTAACGTCAACTCTGCTTCAGCTGATCATTTGGTACCACGTTGGACAAGATCATGACGTTCCCCTAAATCTTCAGGTACCAGCTGGGCCCGCAGCTTGGTTATTTGCTCCTCCAGCGTCCGCATTTCACTTGTCGTACTAGCCAGTTCAGGGACCTCGGTGTCAATCGCATTTGCGAAAGAGCGCTGTGCCCTGCGCAGCGACTGGGGCACTAGGATTCCATACCAATGGAGTGGATCATCAGAATGGAACTTCTTGCGGTTGGCCTTCGGCTTCTTCTCGGCGGTTGGACTGCCGTCCTCTGAAGTCTCGGGGGTTTCTGGTGTTGTTTGTTGGTCCACTGCAGTCTCTCCTGTTTCGAGTTGGACACCCTTCACGGGGTCGGAGGTCTCAACTTTCTTCTCATCTATATCTGCTTTCGGTGGAGTATTGGGTGTGGACTCGGTAGCGAACTTGTAGTCAGAGGGTAGCGAAGCAGCACTCTTGTTCTCCGAATCGGTGGTGCATTCGTCCGCAATGTTTTGTTCGTGTTTAATTGAGCTGCCGATTCCAACGAGTCAATAACTGAGAATATGCAATGGAGTTTGTAGCATTACATCTTCCTTGTCGCTTTCATGCGCTCGTCGTAGAAGTCGGGCCCATAGCGGCGGCCAGGAGGACACGAGAAATTGGCCTGGGCGAGAGCGAAGAACCCCTACAGTATATCAGCCAACAGTCGCGTAAACCATGCCAAGAAGCATACCGAGGACAACTGTTTTGCTAGGCCTGTTTGCAGCTTCTGCTGCTTGTCCAGTAGGTTCAAATATTGCTCAAGAAGTGTATCCAACGATTGAACCAGATCCGAGGCTATGGGCTTCGTTTTTGCTTCAGGTGCCTCCGAGCCTGGTCGCGAATCCGGTGGTGTAGGTATTTGAGTCATCGCGACAACAATACAGACTGAACAAAGACAGACAATGCAAGTTACAGTCAAGCGACGTGGAGATCAGAGGAAAGCCCGAGATACGGGAAACGTGGATCAAAGGAGCTCGGCCCCGGTAACTCCGTCATTCTCTCCGACGCAAAAGAATTTCCCGCCCTTCAACCAACTCTGGACTCACTTCAGCCCACTGTGCTTTCTTAATTATAAGAGACTGTGTTGCAACATATCAATTGTGATAACCTTGTGTGGGTTGATATTGTTTCCCCGGATCTTCGCGCTCCTGCAAATCCGAACCGCCACCTCCGATCTTGACAGTTGCGCCAACCCCCGTGAACCTCACCACCTCGGTATTTCTCGACGAGCGTTACTCGTATCTTCACCCCCTACCGAACATTTGTGGCATTCTTGCTGCTTCCGTACCGTCGTATCGACATAGCGAGCCAGACGACAGTGAGAATCTGGGATCAAACTGAAGCAAGCATTCTGCGCATCTTTCAGGTCATTACATTTAACGACCTTCTTACTTCCTCTCCACTCTCTCCGTACTCTCGGTACACTTAATCATCATGTCCGTCGCATCGCTGCACCGTGATGCTGGTTTCCAGGTCCGGTCTTTGGTATGTCCTTGATTCTGATATCCGCACTCCAACTGCGAGTGCATCCATGCTTGATGATAGGAAGGCTAATCATCTTTCCTTTGCTTAGTTCCGCTCCCTTCTGCGTCAATCCGGCCAATTTTCCAACTATAACTTCCGTGAATATGCCCGTCGCAAGACAAGAGATTCGTTCCGCGAGCACCAAAACGTGACGGAGGAACGTCGGGTACAAGAACTCATGCAAGAGGGTCTTAAGAGCCTGCGCTTGCTCAAGGTCAGTGGAACTCCAGGGATGTTAATGCAGGACTCGGTCAGTGGCAGACAGATGGTCCCCGCACTGAGGGTCAAATCGTCGCGCCTTGCTACACTGCCATATACTTTCTTACATTGATGGTTCATGGAGCTGACAATATCACAGCGCCAAACGATCATCAGTCAATTCTATCAGCTGGACAAGCTGGTGGTGGAGGGCCAGAATGCCGTAAGTTGACCTCCAGATTGAGACATCGTAGGGGCAATCAGTCTCACTCATTCCCACAGGGCAAGGAAACAGGCGACCATGGAGGCATTGTGCGCCAGAAGGACACTGGGTAAGTTGCTTTGAGTCCATTACAGTACATCCACCTTGCATCGACTGACCTGTTGCAGCTGGGATTAAATGTCTCATCATTCGTTGAAGGAGGCCTGTAACTATCCCATCTCTTTTTTGAAGTACCAATAGTGAATCATCGGACACCTGATCCTTTTCTGTATTTATACACCCAGCGCTGCTGTGCAATCAATTCCCATCGAGCACGAGAAATACATCACCACTCCACTCTGGACTACGCTCACTTGCTTTCCTATGGGTGGATCATGCCATAATATGAATGATTCTTGACCCGCAGTAGGTCAAATAGATTGTTCATTGTCCTTGTGCAGCGAATGTCCTTCTCAGGGAATTATATAGTGTTGCCACCGTAGCCTGGAAACTTATGTACGAGTAGCTGACTGCTATTGACATTTACATTCAAAGATAGTGGTATTTTCTGGCTATATATGATCAAGTATAGTATTCTGGACTAGATTCGTTGCTGGTTTCCTTAATACCTACTGATCACGTGATATATCCTTATGGCGCCATCGCGCGACGGGGAGGCACTGCCTATCATCTACTCCCTCCTACTATCCCACGCAACAGCTCCGCCAACTGATTGACCAACATATTTGTGGCTTATACACTTCCTATTGGTTTATCAATTTAGGGGAAGCCGACCGCAGCGGCATTGACACATAATGCCTTCTACGGTACGTTGACCACCATCGGATCTCTCTAGCGCAACCACTCCAACAAGGACACATGAGCATTGCAGATGCAAAGAATACTTGGTTCAGGGAACCAGCTAGCTAATACCTCATAGTTCCGAGCTTCGCGCTCAGGGCGGCATCTTGACGGCCCCAACCGCACCCGAAACGGCCAAATTGACCACGATGTCTTTGAAGGATTGCCAGTACGGCGCTGGTCGAAACAACCACACACCTTCTCCCAAGCTCCCAAGCTCGAAGATTCCGATTTTGGCGTCCAGGGCCCAGGCGGAGGACCAACTCTACCAGAGCTCCCCATGCCAAGAGACAGCCAGCTCCTACCTCCAATCAGTCGCGCCCTTCTTCGAGCAGCCCGTGCTGGATGTGTCCATATTCGTCAGAGTAGTCGCGCGGCCGACGAGGAAGAGAAGAGCGTGGCTGACGCAGAGGACCCGAATTCAGTCAATGCCCATGCCGCCGATCGAAGCTTCACAACTCGCAAGTGGCTGACGCTTCCTAAGCACTTGGAGCCTGCGGAGGTCGAGTTTTTGGCGAAGAGACGGCCTGGTCTTCCTTCCTTGTATGGCGCTGCTGCTGGTGATGCAGGAGCGCCGATGCGCAGGACAAAATTCAAGAAGACAGACCCTGAGACGGGTAATATCTCGATATACGAGGCCTGGGTACCTGAGGGCCATCGTATTGAAGGAGAGATTACCGGCGACGTGCAGGCGATTGCCGCGCAGAGCGAGGTGCCTGTGAAGCCAGAGGCGCCTGCGCCTGGAACCGTCGTTGAGGGTGTCGGGATTGTCAATGCCGAGGGCGTTGTTGTTGCAGAGGCTGGCTCAGCGGCTGTGATGACGCCACCAAAGCGACGCCCCCCTCCCCCTAAGCGCAAGGGCAAGGGCATTGGAAAGGGTCGGAAGAAGAAGGTCATGTTCGCGCCAGGCGAGGGAGCTGATGCCGCCACAGTACATGGTATGGGTGACGGTGCTGGTGATGGTCAAGGAGGAAGCCAGGATGGTTCACGAATGTCGATGGATCCGAATGGTCAAGATGATGACGATGAGGATGGCGATGAGAGTGACGAAGGTGATGAGGGAGATGAGTCCATGGTGGATGCGAAGACTCCTGAGACCCCTCAGCCTACGTCTGGTACGGAGTCTGCTGATCAACCTTCGATTGAGACCCCCGCTGAGCAGTCAGTTGATGTCGATATGGCAGACACTGGTCCCGACAACCAACAAGCTGCCCAAGAGCCATCTTTATCAGTTGGCGCTGAGACACCTTCGCAACTGCAGACCACCGAAGCTTCTCAGCCTGAAAAGGCACCTGAGATAGACAATAGTGTTATGGATTCCAGCGTGCCTCCAAAGACTGAGATCACTGATTCGGATGAGAAGCCTGCCGCACCGGAACATGATGATGCCAATCTCTTCTACTGAACCCGCAGCAGCCTCAAATGCAGCTGCTGAGCCATCAGTTGCCGTTCCCGAGACTGAAGCCTCAAGGCCCACCAAATCTGAAGCCACAGAAGTGACGGCTGATATTGCACCAAAGCAAGAGGAGCCCGACGTCAGAAGTCAGCCAGATATTGAAAACGTCGCACCATCTGATGGACCCGATAAACCTTCAGAACCCGTGCAACCTTCACTCTCGACCGAAGCTCCAGTCGAGGCTGAAGAATCTCAACCCGCCTCAAATGAGGCCACCTCCCAACTCGACACCGAACCCCTTTCAGCAGCTGTTGAAAATGACCAAAACAACCAATCCGAAAACCTCCAGCCCGACGCAGACCCAGCTGAAGCAAAAGACGTGGAAATGAGCGAAGCTCCAGCAGCGCATGAGCAGAACCCACTACTTAAAGAAATCCAGTCTCCCTCAAAGCCCGAATCGCCTCTATCAGAACCACCAGCCGATGATCCTCAGCCTCCTTCATTCGAAGTTGATTCTACCGTGACAGATCTCGCTCCGGCAGAGGAACCAACACCCGCTGCTGAAGATAAGACAGAAGATAAGACAGAACAAGCGGATCAGCCAGCAACTGAGCCAAATGTTCCGGTTGCGACAGCTGCTGCAGAACTCGATCAGAGAGATGATCAACCCGATGAAGTGAAGGGCGAAGTTGAGCAGCCCTCGGATTCAGTCCCTGAGGGTGCCCCGGCCGAGTCTACATAGGCTGTTTCCTTGGGTTGATTGTTACTACTGTCCATTTCATCCAGTTTCCACGGTGTATGATGAATACTTTTTGTCTTGTTTATTACTCTTCTGGCGCTCTTTGTTTGTTGCGGTTTGTAGGCTGGAGTCTGGATTCTGGGTTCGTTCGTTAGTCATTGATCATTTCGCTATTACATTCTTGTAGGATCATATTGTTTGTCAATTATTGGAACGAGACTTGCTTATTTGAATTTCATCAACTTGTTGACTGTTTCAATTAGCCCTGTAAGAACCGCGTTTATCTAGCTATTCTAGCTATTGCCTCTTAACTGATTACCTCGATGTAACGAATCTGTCCCAAAGGTTAGGTAGCAATTTTCCATGGTAGATATCCTGCTGTCCTTGTTTAAATGTTTGCACGAGCGAGAAGAAGTTGATACATTGTTATATCAAAGTCGAATGGATATATATACATATATCTCCACACAAAGCCCGAAAGGGTCTTGGATAATATGTTGGACTTAGAGAATGTCACCATCTGACTCATCCGTTGTTTGATTTGCAGATATTCAGTAGCAGCTGAGCTGGACGTATCTCACCCCTGATAGTCGAGACGGTCATTGCGTTGCTTAGCGCAACTGAATCGTTAGACGCAAGATGGATAACAACGCCATCGTTGTATTTTTCTTTCCTATTCCTTTGATTATTACCTGCAGCCCTACGAGATCTTAGTTTTCTTTTATCTTGATCCTCTCACCGAGTTCACCGAGCCTTCTTAAACAGAAATTTGAGTCGTTAGGGCTTATTTGGCGGCGAAGTTTCCGCATTAGGAAATCATCCGATCGATCAGGTCACCCAGCGGCCCTTTCAAGACATCATGACACTATTTTATAGCAAGACCTACGCTTTAATAGCATATGATAAGGATGTTTAGCCCAAACCTCAAGCTGCAAATTACCCGAAGGGTTCGGAATCCCGATCGGCTTGCCGAGTCAGGCCAAACAGCCCCAGTAGCTAACTTTAATATAAATAGGGAAGCACCTCTGCTAATCTTTTCAACTTCTCTAGTCATACTATTAAGTGGACTAGTGTATCCATTCTTAATCTTAATTTAACATTATTCACAGCACTATGGCGTCTTGGCTGTTTGGTGGTTGTCAGGCCGCGAATGTACCAACCTACTTTGACATCAGGTTAGAGTATACCATACTCCATTATGTTTCTACTCACTGACTGGTGGATTATATATTAAGACTCGATAATAATAGCCTCATGCTTCCTCGTATTGATGAGGATACTAGCTACGGCCACCTCAATGGCACTGTTGTTCTATGCTTGAATAAGCCACTCCCCATCAAAGAACTCAAGGTCCACACGAGAGGGATCCAATATGTCAAGTATGTTTTCACGATCCCTATTTATGCTGCTGGTTAGAAAACTCAAGCTAACGATTCAATCAGCTGGGACTCGGCAACACCAGAAGGCCGACATAAGAAAGCAGCCTGGCGCGAAACAACATTCTACCACCAAATATGGAGCTTTCTTCCAGAGTCGAACAAAAATCAGAAAAGTTTACAACCCGGCAACTACGAGTTCCCCTTTTCAGTTACCCTACACAACAGTCTGCCAGAGAGTGTCGAAGGACTAGACGACTGCTACATTCGATACGAGTTGACAGCCGGGATCAACTGTGCATGGGGATTGATCACAAGATCGAAGGGTTTGAGGGTATCCAAGGCTCTGAATCCTCTATCATTCCTTGAACCTGAGGTATGCAAAAGGACGAGACCCAGCGTTTGACCGAATGGTACGACTGACATGACAACTACACAGAGCATTGAAAGGACATGGCCTGAAAAGATCGCATATCGAATCAGTATTCCAGGACGAGCATATCAGCTCGGGGCCCCTATAAAGATCGACTTCCGATATATCCCACTCCGAAAAGGTGTTCATCCTGCCTCAATCAAGGTGCAACTTGTGGAATCCCACGTCGTCATTTCAAGGGCTGGGGGACCAAGACCTATACGCCAAACTCGAGAGAAGACTATAATCGACGATTTCCTAGAGTTCGACGGTTCTTTAGGGAACGCGGCCGTCACCGAAGATGCAGATGGTGAGGGATGGGATGCATTATCTTATATCATCGTACCTTCAAAGTCCATCGAGCCCTGTGTGCCAAGTTGCAACACGACTATTATTAATATATCCCACACACTCAAAGTGTGTATCAAGCTTCTAAACCCCAATGGGGCTTTTTCTGAGGTATGTGTGCTCACTGGACACCAAAATAAATACAGAAAAGAACACAGTTAACGACTCTCTCCCCTTCTTAGATTGCTGCCTTCTTCCCAATCTCTTTGTGTCGTTCCCCAAGCACATTCTCCTCTTGCTCCTTGCTACACAAAGAATGTCTGAACGGCCTCCAGCCTGCTCCATCTTACACAGACTATATCCATGACAAACCGTATTCAGAGTGTGATGTAATGGATATTCCAGACCAACAGGCTGTGACAGGCCAAAGTGAGGCTCCTAGACCGGCATACGAGGACAAGGGCTTTTCAGAGGACTTGCTTGGAATTCCTTGTTATGAAAGTGCGATATGTTCATTGGCTCCACGGAGTGGGGGAAGCCCTTCTTACTGGGATGTTGTTTCGAGTCATGAATAGGTTCGGTTTGGATTTTTCTAGGACCTAGAGCTCCATTCGATGTCTAAGTGCGCATATACCTGAGAGACTTACCTAGCCGGTCCGAACTTCGTTTGCTGTTAAATTTCACGTGTTTGCTTCTTCTTTCATATACAGGAGCTCGCGTAAATACCTACATATAATGATCTTAAGAAGGTAATGGGCCATGAGACGATGTAGAAAAGGATGGTTTGTTATCATAGGCGAGCTATAGATCTATATAGTAGGATATGATAGAGAACCAGGGCTGCTAAGCCGGAAGCCCTAAGGAGGACTGCATTAGTATCAAACGGTGAGCAAACCGGAGGATTGTATGAGGCCTGAAACATAATCATCAGTCCAATACATTAGGCAGGTCCCTTGTCCTGACAGAAAGGCTTGACTGACATTCCAACTAGTCCCAGAGTCAAACGTGCTGTCTGTCTGTCCACTCCTGTCTTCCTCATCTCTCGCCACTTTTCCATCACGTTCCATCACTATATAACGTTGATCACCGGATTCAACAATCATAAGCCTAGGTAATTATTACTAGTCTCACTTGACCTTCCCTATCTTCATCGCATTCTCCCAACTTCAAACGTCATTCTCAGTGGCTTTATTAATTCATCAATTCACTTATACAGATCAACGGAAACCGTAATTGAGAAGCTCTATGTACATGACCAACATCACCAATTGAGGACTAAAAACATACCTAGACAAGCATACTCAATCTGAGTAAACCTGAAATGGGGACATTTATCTGAGCTAAGTGTTAACCATGTTGAATTTGGAAACATCTACCTTAGCTATATCAAATCCGATATCAAGGTCACGCACCAATCTGAATTGAACACTCAACAGCGGCCCAGGGCAATCCCTCACTTTCATGACCATGACACATAAATAGAATAAGAACTCGAGCGGAAAAAAAGAAGCCAGAGGGGGAAAATAATAGATAGGAAGAACAGAAGGCAGGGAAGGCAGAATAAAGTAGAACAAAGAAACCACGAACGCCTTCTCCGTCAGGGAGTAAAACAAGAACAAATAGGGATGTCGTACAAGGGGTAATTAGCTAATGAACACGAATGTCAGTAGTCGAGCGAGGAGGACCAGCACGTCAATGAAGAATTGAAGACGGAAATTATGGGTTAGAAAGAAAGGAAAAAGTTACTGGTGGAGAGCCATATCAGAGATGGGTGACCCGAATCACCTGTTGCGTCAAGTGTCAAGGTCGACAGAAAATGAGATAGTAAAAGCCGAAGAAACTCAACAAGTCCACTTCCCAGCTGCTGGCAGTAGGTCTGCAGTTCGTCAAAGAAGACAGGCATTTTGACAGCCAAATCATGTAATCCAAGCAGGGCACTGTCAACGAGTAGTAAAAGATTGACCAAGGCGTTTAAGCTCTCTTTGTACCCCTGACAGATCGCACAACACGCCGAGCGACGCTCTTGACATCTTTGCCGAAGCCCTTCTTAGCAGGGCTTTTAGCTTTGGTGATGGGCATCTTAGCCCTGACGGGACTCTTGGAAGGAGCCTTTTGCGCAGCATTTTTGCGAGGACGGCCCACGGCGCCCTTGGAAGCAGTAGCGAGGATCTTTTTCTTGGTCTCGGCAGATGGCCGCTTGAGCGCTGTAGACTTTTTACCAGGTGAAGCCGGGGCCCCCTTGGCAGCCTTGGTAGCCTTGGTAGTTTTAGTGCCACGGGTAGGGCGGACAGCCGCCTTCACTCGCCCTGTAGCCTTGACCTTAGGCAACTTGACATTCTTCGCCTTGGTGGTGGCCTTCGCCTTGGCTGTTGTCTTCGTGGTCTTCTTTCCGCGGACAGTTGCCACGGCCTTCTTGACGCCGGCGCGGATGGATTTCGTTGAGATCAGCTTGCGACGTTTGCTCTTTGGAGGCTCGTCCTCCTCGGACTCGGACTCAGATTCAGACTCAGAGTCAGTTTCGGAATCAGACTCGGACTCGGACGAAGACTCTGCCGCGGCTTTTCGCTTTTTGCCGATGGCTTTCTTAGTCTTCTTCAAGCTATCGGCCTTTCGCTTCTGCTCAAGCTCTTTAGCGCGCTGTTGCTTATCCTTCAGCCGTGGGCCCAGGAAGCCTCGACAGTTCGCTGATCCACATCGGCATTGTTGCACGTTCTTGTTGGAATACGGGCTGGTATAGTATTAGCACAGAGTCTATCTGTTTGAGCACAAGAAGATGCTCACTCGAAATTGTAGTCGTAACTCAATTCCTCCCCAGTAGAAATACCACGATCTCCCGCGAAGAGAGCCATGCGAGGTTTTCCAGCGACAGTCCATTTCTCCATACGACAGTTGGGCTCGCAAGCGTGATTAACGAAGCGAGCAATGGACCCACGAGTCGCATCAATGATCATATTTTGATCAAAGTACATGAGATAATAGCACTAAATGATAAGTTAGTAACATTTAAGCAGCGAGGGAAGCAAGGGCACATACGTCATTGTTCTTGTATACTGTTCTCATCCTTTTCTCGCACTCAAACTGTGTGAGAATCTCTCCGGTGTACTCCACAATAATCTGATTAGGCTCGAAGGAACGGTTGCTGCGGACGCCGTATCCACGGTCTTTGGTCTTGATGACCTCGACTCCGATGTTATACTTGCCTCCAGCCTTGGTTCGGTGCTTGAGTCCCTCGAAATTTCGGTTCCCACACTCTGGACCCAGCCTGCAGTTACCGTTGTCACATTCGTAGAACATGTAGCGATTCTGGCAGTTCTCGTCACAGCCAGTATCCTCCTCACACATGCAAGTAGATAGCTCGAGATTCTTGTTCGCTTTCCAAAAACTTCCGGCGTCACCAACAAAGACATCTGAACTGTATGTTAGCCATCACTTCATAATGTGAGATTCCGACACATTGCTCACTCTTGTTGGTCTTACGCCACTCATCTGGCTTGGGCTGGCCAGGCGGGAGAGGCGAGAAGATGTCGAATGGCAGCTGGTAGTCTCTTCCATTCTTCAACAGCCGAGCACCCTTGAACATGGGCATAGGAAGAATAGTACGGTGCCTGGGTCCAGTGCCAGTCTTCTTGGAATTTTTGCTCCGGCGCTGTTTGGGAGGGGAGTCCGAGGGTTCCTGTCCAGTGTATAGACCGTGAGACAGCCACAGCTTGCGCTTAGGCCGAGGCGAGGATGGTGCAGACGGTTCTTCGGGGGCAGGCGTATCCTGAGATTTGAGTTTGGACAAATCACTCTCGGAGACTCGGCGCTTCTTTGTTGCATGCCCATTCTCCTCCTTTGGCGGATCCAGATTTCGAGGCCGGAGGCTAGCACGACGACCAAGATCTTTATCTGCCATACCTCTCGTACGCTTTCCCAGAATACTGTTCGCCCGATCAACGAGATCCGAAGCCTTATCCAATAAACCTATGCGACCTGACCGCCGTAGAGACTTGCGGGAAGCGGTACGAGATGGAGCTGGCTTAGCTTTGGGTGTTCCCTCATCTTCCTCCAATGCCTTCTCCACACGCTTTCGTAGTGCTCGCTGTTGAAGTGACACATTCATATCCCCAGCTTGCAACTCTTGAGAAGACTTTGAGACCGGGGTATCGGGGGCCATTGGGTGGTCATCTACCGCGGCATCCTTGTCTGCAGCACCACTCCACAGGGAATTTTCCATCACGGCAATACTGTGGCGCAGAGAGGAATGTGATCTCTTTGCGTTGGCAAGGCTAGCTACGTAAGCCTCGCTGGAGGAAGCGACGGATCCGTCCTTCTCAGGTGCGTCGTCTAGTGGCTGACCGGCCAGCGATGCGCGTGCGACTCGTGTTGACCTCCGCCGTCCCGCGGTATTTTCGTCAGTCAACGCGTTTTCATTGTTGCTCGATGTCTCAGAGCGGCTGTTCTCGGGCGTCAGCAGTTGTTCTGGAACGTCGAGGCTCGTGTTGTCTTCGGGCTCGTATGCCTTGTCGGCAGTCGCGGACGCGGACGCGAGGAATCGGGACGTTCGGGGCGCCATATTTAAAGGACTGCGTAAATGAGAAGGACAATTCCACGAGGAACCGCCTTTCTCGAAATAAAACTGGCGCGTGTGATCTGGGATGGGGAAATATAAGGGGGAGAGAGTGCCAAACGGAGGATCAGCTCCCGCGCGCTTCTTATCAATTTAGGGCGATGCGATGCCTGACGCGTGCAACACCAACACAAGCCCAGCCTCAATGATGCAGAATTATCCGAGAATTGCGATACAATAGAGCGAGAAAAGATTGGATAACAAGGGAGAAGGAGAAGAAAGCCCTCGCAGGAGAAGGTGGAAGCTTACGAACTCAGATTTCCTGGAATGCCGAAATCCCTCATAACTTCCACCCCGCATGAGAGATTCTACGCGTACTGTAGCTGTGTATACGGAATGGGAATCTATATGTGTGATGCACAGATCAAATGTCATAGAATGAATATGTTCCAAAAAGATGATATGGAAGTCGAGGTAGACTGCTCTGGTAGGTGCTTTATTACCAGGTAGTCACACAAGTGGCAGAAGTGTAATAACAGAATAAGAAAATGATCAAGGATCAGTAAAAAGACAGGATTATGTCTTTGCCAAGTACAGCAAAGCAAACAGAATTTGTAAGAAGAAGGGTATGGATAATGTGGTGATTAGAAAGCGGTATGTGGGAAGGATTTTGGAGAGAATGGGAAATAGAAAGGAAGATATCATGAAGATCATGTTCAAGGGTCGTGACAGGGAAAGCACAGAATGAAAGTTTTTTTAGCCCTGTTCGGGACCAACGTGTTGCATCTCAATATCTCCTTGGGATTCAACGTCTGGGACACGATACTTACGCTTTTGCGTCCCCAATCGTTGATCACCATCCTCATAGCGTTTCTTGAATTGCATGTAGGTAGGAGGCCGAGGACGTCCAAGAACGGCAATCCAATTCTTGAGGACATTTCCTTGAGTGAACGGTCGATGGCGGTCGGCCTTGGCAAACTTGTGCGAGTTGAGATACTCCCTTGTTGTCTCGCCACGACCGACTAGGAAGAGATGGTACGCCCAAAGGGACGTAGGATAAGGCGCTGCAACGATACCATAAATCACCATAGCCCACGGCACCCTCCATTTGGAGATTGCGGCCCCAAAGGAGATGTGCTCTTGTGACCTGTAGACCAAGATGTGTGCGAGGCTGGCGCCAAGTAAGAAGAAAGATAGGAGGGTACAGGAGCTGACAAAGGTAAAAAAATAGCGATAGTTTCGGCGACCAACACAATTGTTGAGCCACACGCAGTGGTGGTCGAGGGTCTCGACACAGTTGTCGCAGACACGACAGTGATAGCAGCGAGGAGGCCGCCAAATACTACACGTCTTGCAGTATTTGACAGGTACGTCCATGGCAGCCACCTCGGAAGTGGCAAGCTTGACCATAACCCAGTCATTTGTAGGGGGGCCAAGCGTCAACGGGTCGTCTGAAGGATTCGGCTGGGGCATAGGGTGTATATTCCGGGGCATAATCTGGTAGAATCATATTAGCAATAGTCATGTTTCATCAAAATCGAGTCACTCACTCCAGGATCGACGGTGGATGCATGTACGAAGGATGAGATGCAAATGTAGAAAATATAAGCAAACAAGATTGGAATGGCAGGTGAGATATTATGCCATAGCCAAGGTGCCGAGAAACCGAGGAACAAAGCTGAAGGTACGACGACTAGAAGGCCTGTTGCAATGTTGACAGGCTTGTCTCTCGCATTTTGGAATCGCCCTCCACCGCAAAAGAGAGTATTGCCAGTGAAATATTCCCAGTTCTTGCCCAGATTGGATTTTGGCAGAGGTGGCTTCTTCACATCGAGAGGTCCCGGAGAAGAGCCAGCGGACGAAAGATGTTCATGGCCCCGAGAGTCATGATTGTGTGCTGCTCCCCTATTTTGTTGAAATGACAAGAATGAAAGTGGTGATTTCGGTGGTACATCCTGAGCGGCCTGTCCTGAGTAATTCGCACCCAGATTGAGACGGCCAGGCTGTGGAGTCTGTCTCTGGTCTCTATCTCGCAGCAGCCTGACACTGTCGCCCAAGCTCCGGATGGTTGTGTTGCCGGTAGGACTGGCGTTGGAGGTGTTGCGGTCTGGGATGATGGGATCCGTGAACTCTGTACCCCGAGACGGTGGAGCTTCCATGTCTGTCTGAGGAAGGGATCCTTGCGGGACTGTGCTGTTAGAAACTATGCTTCTCCGGTTCTGACTTCCATGCTCGGTCCAGTCGTCGGACGAAAACGTGCCCTTGGTCCTAGGGCGTGTTCCTCGATGTGCTTGCAATCGCTGCGAACTCATTGGCCGGAAGAACGCTTGAGCCGTCAGGGACGGAATATGGGTTCTACTCAGCCGGCTACCCGAGCTACCAGGTCTGCTGGTGACCTGGCTGGACGCGGTAATGGAATTTCGCGTCGGTGGCGGACCACGCCTGGAAACCGAGGGCCGATGCTGGAGTGACGGGGGAGGTGACGTAAAAGATGTTGTTCGTTCTCCATCGTCATCCGTCACTCGGGATGAAATCCCTCCCATTGAGGGAGGGCGAGGGATGCCCAACACATGTTGCTGTGTCGAGGTCGGGTTCGTGTCGCCGGTATCTGGGCGATCTGTGGGGTTTGCCATTGTGCTGAAAAAAGGTGAATATTAAGAATTAATTAGATCGAAATGCGCGCTATCATATTGCGATCCGAGTAGACAATGGCGAAATGGCGGAAGCGAATCGCGGTGAGCGTAGGCAGCTATCGAGCACTGTGACGAGCGAAACCACAGAAATGAGTGACAATGGAGTCGAGACGGGATTGAACGAAGGACTAAGCAGATCGTCCAGGTCTTATGAGTTTATTAGTCTCGAGTCCCTGAGCTGCGTTCCACCAACAAACGCGAAAAGCCAGGGCCAAACTGCAGAACCCCTGATGGAGAAAACCGGAGTCACGCACCTTAGAACAGCGATAGACAGACTCAACCAAAGCGTAGAAGCCAATTACATCACAGGAAACTAACCCCGGAATGATTGTACAGTCGTCAGCGACTCGAATTAAAGAACCAGAGAAATCGACCCAAGCACCGAAGGGGGCGATGGTATTGAATTCTTATGTAATCGAGATCGGGTTGAGTTGGTTAACTAGTCACCAAACTAGTTAAGGTGGGTCCGGTGCCAGATATGTCAGGCAGAATAATGATATCACGTGTGTTCAGCCTCATGATTGGTAGTTTGGAACTATAACAAATATTACTTGGATGCAATCAATCAGGACTTTACATTTAATGACTATAAGCGTGTTCATGGATGCTGTAATATGTGGTTAGATCAAGTAGGTTATGGCAACTTCAAAACACGGTAGCGAACATGCATACACCAGGATCGAGCTCGTGAATATACAATTCAAATCCCTGAGCCAGTAAGCGTACCTGACCGAAATACCCTACAGCGTACACACCTTCCATTCTATCATGAGTTATTATCATTTCGCTTCTCACTAGATCCTCGGCACGAAATCTTTTAGCCAGATGATGGCCATGTTCTACATGCATACAGGCTCAGTATCTTGAAACAGTAAATCTCCATATAATTTGTCCGCTTGTAGATCCGCATCAGGCTCTTTAGATTACATTGTATAATTTTATGGGTCCCCGGTAATACTGCCTAAGGTCCCTAAGTGACGCAGTTCGAACACCTAGGAACCTTCGTTGGCTGAATAGCAGCTGTCTGGTTACTGCCATTTTGGCATGGGGATCGCTTGATATTCAAATTTGTACAAGCATATGGAGAACGGAGTATATAATTTCCCTACCAATCTTGAAGCCAGATACAATGACTTAAAACTGCCTGCCAGTCCTAGGATATTATACTCAGGCAGCCACTTGCAGCTCTGCTGGTTACGACTAGTTCGGTCTCATTTTGTTTGATTAATTGCATCGAGCTAATGGTTCTACACTCCATGGTTGATTTTGAACGTTTCTGTGTCAGGCTTCTTGCACGTATATATTACAGGATACACGGAGCCGTGCGAAACACGGCTCTTCAGCCTCGGCGGTATGCAGGAGTAATGAATATCTTTCGTATATAGTCAAAAATGAATAGATCCGGACGCTAGATTTCCGATTAGCAAGTAAAAGGCATATATTCGCTTCCAAAAAAAGAGGCGGGAGGAGTGGTAAGCAGCCTAGGAGCGCACACAACAGAATGTATTTGGCCTTCAACCTAGTACCTCATTAGAGATTCGGTGGCATCCTCTCTATTGCACTGATTGAACCCGAGGTGCACTTGGTCGCAATTGGAAAGATACACCGTAGTATCGGATAAATCCAGGGGCTCAGATGTGATAGGTATTGAGGTCTTTGATTAGGCTCAGTGATGGCAATGTATATGGCATATATGAATTCTCAGTTCGCACCCCCTGGCCAAATATAAGAACATACGCAGGTTGCAAGTTGCAGTCAAGTGAGGTCGGAACATACGAAGCAAATTCTGTGAGATCTGATTGGCCAGCTTACATAAGGTCCGTTCGTGGCCGGCAACATCATTCGATTCTCTCCCACACCCGTCACCAGTTCACCCACAAATTACCAACCCAACGCACGCTCGACTCGCTGCAAATATGTCCTCAATCGCTGCTCTGGCTGGCCGCCGGGCTTTCACCCGCCAGGCCCTCTTCCGCGCTCCCCCGCGCCGCTTCAACTCCAGCAAGGTCGAGGAGGCTCACCTTGACAAAGCCGGCAAGCGTGACCCCGAGCTCTACGTACGAATCCCACAGGCCATTAAACCTCAACAGAGCTATTTGCCTAATTGCTATGTCTCCAGGTTCTCCTCGGTGTTATGTCTGGTGCTTTCATGATCGCCGGATGGTGAGCATCCCTCCCAATATTCCCCTACATCTCCCGACCTCCGAATATTTTGCCCTATTTGCGCCATTGTGACGTACCGGCATACTCAATTGAGCACCCCGACCGACTCACGTCTATCAATGGCGCATTTTCAAACACAATGCAAGCTTG